CCCTTCTTAAGAACGGCTTCTCGACAGCCACCTTTCCACTGAGACCCTTTTTGATTCAGTTCATCCCTTGACTTAGGCGTCTGTTTTATGCTTGAATGATTTATGGGTCATTTATTAAGTGCTTCAACAAACAAACAAACACATAAATTCCTCTGAAAATGGTCATGTGCAAGGACTGGACTGCAAATTGGTTCAGAAAGCCTGGAGCTTTATTGCTCAAGAGAACGTTAAGAGGAAAGTATGGCTCATTGGACACAAACTCTAATATAAAGGATGGATTTTTGCAAAAAAATGTCATCCAAAGTGTTAGCATAACCACTCCTTGATAACCAACCTGGGCAACGTCACCAGCAAAATACTGTAAATAAAGAAAAAGCAAAACAATTTCTACATAATGAGAAATAGAAATTCTGAAAATTTCTGCTTTTAAGTTCATCAACTTGGAAAATGAAGTCCGTAACTTTTAAGGCTCAGAGTTTAGTTATAACATATAAAACTTCCTCGTACAACTGTACAAGACATGATAAATAAGGCCTTTCTTTCTTTAAAAATGACTGTGGTATCTGGTACTCTTCTCACATTCCTCTACTGTCTTTACTATGGTAATGTACTCATGTAGATCAAACAGACAGGAAGTGGGGACAACAATGCAGCCGAGACTCGTCCAAAAGCTGTTGACATAAATCACAGACATTCGTTCAGCTTTCGGTCACACTCTCCTGCTCTTCCTCATGCATGACAGAATGCAGCATCAGGACATTTTACAGTAAATGGAGACTGGTATGTGTGAGTGTGTTGGATGATATTGATTTACAGAAGAGGAGAAAGCAGAGGAGTTGAGCCTGAAGCGAACCATCTGTACAAAGCCAGACAAACAGAGCTGCCCACCTAAAATCAAACTGTGGTGACTGTGTGAGCTGGAAAAAGTCTTCTATGCTACACAAAATGACGTGGGATGTTTGTCTTGTTGTTTAAATTCTTTTGTTAAAGATATGACACATAGTGTGCACTTTCTAAAAATCTTATTTTTTAGAGCCCGACTATTTCGACACAGGAAAGTGAAGTTATCAAGTAACAACAACAAACTCGGCTAGTCTCCAGATCTGAAAGGTATGGGAGCTCGTTTCCGCTCACTTGTTACACTTTTCTCAAGAGATTATGAGCTCAGTCACTGGTTGCATATCTTAGTTATTACAACATAGTGTTCATTTTGTAAATGATGGCCCCTGTTTTCCCCTCTGTGGTAAAGAAAACATGTCCTTGGCCCAAACAATCTTCAGAAGCCAAAGGTTAGACGTGTTTGGACCTCAGAAAGTTTATAATACACAACTTCAAGCTTCAATAAAATGTAAACAGTTGGGTTATAAAAACATTTAACACTCTGACCAGTTGATATAAAGGAGAAATCAGCCATAGTGAGCTTTTTTTTGTACCATGCTGTAAACGATGTTTATTTCTGCTGTAAAACCAGGCATCACTTTCCAAAATAATATCCTCACTCTCAAGTTTAAGACTGCGTACAATGAATGGAGTGCAGACACATGCAGAGATGCACACATTAATATCGCTGACTTTCATCTGTCTAGATGTCTCAGGCATTGGAAGCTTGTCCCCCTTGCGTGCCTGTGCTAATGCTTAGTAATTCAGATGCCAAATCTGTCTCAGGCGAGACACTCCGCTCCCCTTTCGGTCACAATGGTCAGGGCTTTTTGCAAGATAATTGCATCCTTGTCATAAAAAAACCCTCACCAGGAGCGATGAAAGAGCAGGACTGACGGCTGAGATTTTAGAGGCCTGACCTGCTCTTTCTGTAACGGTGGTTAAGCATGTGGGGGTCAGACTGCGCCTGCAGGTAACGGCTTTTTAGAGCACACTGTGTGGACAGGTCGAGTGAAATCAGGGTGATAAATGCTAAATTTTGGATAGCTTAAAATGGTTCAAATAGAAGGAAGGGACATTAACTCTTTGGATGTAATCCCTCTCAATGGGGAATTTAAGAGAAGGTCTCCTTTTTCTCACAAGCCGTGTTAGCTGAAGCCTAAAGACTTTCTCTGGTGTCTGTGTATAATACAGGGTAGCAGGTCGATGGGGTGGCACGGAGTGGAATTTTCCTCAGCTTAAGTTGGGAAAAAACATGCCAGTAATTAAAATAATTTAAGCTGCATGATCATCCTTCAAGTGTGGCGATTCCATAATTTTTTGTGCCTCTGTTGTTGTTTACTTTGTGTTCCCTATGTTACTGTTTTCTTCAGTATCTTCGTGTATGACTCTTTTGGACTTTTACTCAGTCTTCTTTCTGAAGTCTCAGAATTACAGCGATGAAATGACCTTTAAAGACAAACGTTTGACCTCCTCGTCCTCCTTGTTTGCAAGCTCCAGTAAATGATTCTACAAATTACCTCCGAGTCTTGTAAAGTATTCCTCGTGCACTGAGGAAATCAAATCTGCACAGCACCACTCTGAGCTCTACGATGAGTCAAATTATCTGTTGTAGGACTCCTTTGTCATGGTTTGGAGTTTCTGTTTAAATACTTCCTGTTTTATTTTGAAATCTCGTTCATACGCCTCAGTAAATTCTACTTCCAGCATTGTTTTGTTTCCTGTGTTTTGTACAGTCAGTATGATTGGTAGACACACCTCTCCATGTGTTTGTCTTGTCTTCTGTGTGTTTCGAAGTGATCTCTTTGTGCCTCTCTTTGACTTTTTGGGTTTTGCTTCCTTTGCTTTGGGTGTCTGTGCTGGTTTTCTATATATGCACGACCCCTGTCCAGGTTAAAGACCACATGCTAGATTTTTACTTTGCATCCTGTACCTCACATTCAGGTCCTCTCATCCTTGCTGTTCCTTGGACTCAGTAATTTTGGCTTTGAGGTCATTTTCAAGCTGCAAGATGAAACTGGAAGCAATGAGAAGTCTCACTGTTGGTATTGCAATGAAAATATCCCCCCCCAAAATTCACAGTGCTACATGTTGTTATAGTTTTGATTAAACATCTTTCTCTAACGAGGTTTTTAAATTCTAAACTGCTGAATTAGAGACAGAAATCATTCTTTGAGCTTACACGTAAGGCTTGATGTGACTTCAATCTTAAACCGATTAATAGGCATTTTTCTTTGGATTTTATGCTTCCGAACATAAAAGCTTCTCCTGCTGCCAGAGGACAAGTGAGAGTACGTTTCCACTAAGAGAAACTGAACTGTAAAATGGGTGGAAATGCAAATGAAATTCTGTTTACACTGCTGATATCTCAACTCCCATAGCAATTTTGATTTTATAAAGCAAATTTTGGAATAGATTTATCCGTGTAATTCTCCACTGATATGGCTTCTACGCCACGAATATTAACTATAAAAGAATCATTTGAGTGTGGGTGCTGTAGATAATGTCTTTTTTTTTCCACAGCTGCTGAAGCGTATTTGCATTTAAATTCAATTTTATTGCACATTACAAACATTTCTGTGTGTGTGAAGTCTCACTTTTAGTCACATTCTGTGTGATTTTGGGGGGATTTGACTCATTTCCTGAGATGATACGAGAGGATTAAAAAGAAAAAAGAATCAATTGCTCTGGTTTCTCTCGAAGCTACAGTTGGTGGTGAGGTGCTGATACTTCGAGGTGCAGCACACTGATGTGACTCAGCTGTGTACCGTCCAGGAAAGAACTTCATCCAGTAATAACAGATGATCAATGCTGCAGTTTTTACTCTGCAGAGATGTTTGAAGTGAGCCACTGAGCAGCAGGACAGCTTTAGATTAAAACCAGAGAGCCTTTAAAACATCTCTCTTTGAATCTAAATGTATGTCAGTGGTGCTTTTTAATTATTACTTCCTGTTTAAATTTTGAAAGCAACCATGTCGTGCATCAAGTCGTGTGCTAAAGTTGGACGTAGAGATTGCAAACGTTAAAATAATAACTGGCTTTGTTTGTACAGCACCTCCCAGCAGCTCAGAGTGCTGTAACGTTTAAGAAACACACAGATTGTATAAAATCAGCAAATATGACTTAAAGTTAAAGAAATTTAAGGGGGGAAATAAATTAACACACAATAATATATAATAAAACATGTTTTAACTGCCATTAGCTGCACTTGAGGAAGAGCAAACATTGGATGGAAGTCAGTAATGTGGATATCTGGTGGAAAAGCAGCTCTTTGAGCAGCTGCTTAAAAGCTTTAACATGCAAGAAAAAATGCTTCAGTCTTATTATATAACAATAGTGTGCAGCTGTCACTGTCTACTATGGTATGTAATTACTATTGCACTATATTGCTGCTGCTGGCACCTTGTGGTGATAGAGTCACACTTTAAACGGAAAAGTGTGTCATCAGTTACATTGTTTGCACTGATAAATAACCTCCTGCAAGCTACAATCACCAACAAAACACTGTTGTTTTCTACATCATAATAAATATCATTATTGAAAATTTCCAGGGGTCCAGGTGGTGGGACAGCAGCCTACGTTGAGACCTGTCTTATCCCAGTCACGTCCTTCAAATCTTCAGAGGACCACACGTCTTAATGCTTGACTTCAGGTATTTTTAAGTCTTGTCGTCACAGGTGTGTAAAATCAGGCACCTAGCCATGGAGCCGGCCTTTACAAGCATTTGTGAAAAAATGTGTCGTTTTCTAAAGAGCTCAGTGAAGTTAAGCGTGGTATTGTAATAGCTAAACTTTTTAAATTTTATTTCATAAATTACAGCAAAAAACCCCAAAACAAACAAGAACACAGCAGAGCATACTTTAGGGTGTGACCAGCATGCAGTGCCCACTGGTTTCTCAGCCAAGCTCCTGATGTCTGTTTTTAATAGGGGGTCACAAAGAGGCTTCATCCCATGGGTGCTGTCATGCTGGCTATGTGCACGCCTTTATCTTTCTATATACAAACTAATGAATTATGCTGAACTATGCAGACTAATCTTATTAATTTAATATTTTTAAATCTATGTATAAATGTCAAACATCAGGCACGAAGCATTAATCCTTCCCCTCGTTCCATCCTACCTTGTGGTGTATTTGGACTCTGAGCAGAATATTCTTGTAGCTGTGGCCGTCGTTGACCTGCAGCACCGCCCCGTCCTCTGCCCCCTCCGAGCCGTCGTGGATGTACTGAATCTGTTCCCGTGACAGCTCCTCCAGCTTGAATCGGCTGAGAGCGCGGTCGCTGTGGAGACGGGTCAGCCGGCCATAGCGGGGCGGCTCAAGCACCATGACCAGAACATCGGCTGCGTTGTCAGGGTCGTCGACCTGCAGGACCGACTTGGTGATGGTTGCCAGGCTGCCACGGCCCTCCACGGTAAGAGGAGAGAAGGTCACGACTCTCGGGGGCTGGGAAGGATTTTAAAAAACAGGAGGAACAGCTTTGAATATAACCTGACAGCTGTGAAGGACAGAGGTAGATTTGATTTAGGAAACATACAGCTTAGATACATTTTAACACTTCTAAAGGCTGATAGCAGAGGGGGATACAGCAGTTTACCCCAAACACACTCAAATCATCACATGATGTATTTTCTCCCAGAGAACTGGGACACGGGGGCTGTGCTGACGCCAAGGGAAATGAAGAAATGAAGGTAAGGCGGAGATGAAGCTGGGCGCCTCATTAAGCTGCACTCAGCCATACCTGGAGCCTCACCACAGATGGCAAAATGCTTCATCTTGCTAACAAAGCCATTTTAGGAGCACCAGCAGGACTGGGAGGCCTCGCGCTGTAAACAAGAGCATAACTTTATCCATATTCTTCTTTACACTTTTAAAATGAACCGTTCTTCTTAAAAAAATAAAATCTATCTAGACTAGATGTCAAACCTCCACCTCAAAATAAAGCATATGTAAAAAAAACAACCTGCCATTGTTCTTCCTCTTTAGATGTAAGAAGTAAGGACGACTGGAGAGTGTTCACCTGATCCAACGGGGATATACACTCTTTACCACATGCACTTAAATGCTTTTCCAAACTACAGAAAGTATTACTTAAGTTTAGAGAGAAATCTACTCATAAACAGATGGTGAACAGCCTGAGATCACCCTCGGTGGACTAGCTCAGGTTCCACACGTACAACCCTGGTCTCGATATTTTTGACTGTAGAGATCTCTTCCTTCTCCTGGCTATGAGTAAATACACAGCGCTAGCTTTGTGCAGCTCAAAGCACTTAAAAATACATCTGAACTGCACTCAGCAGGAATCCCAGCAGGAATCATGACTGGTTACTCAAAAACCCCACAAACCTTGTTTGGAGAGTAGGAACTATTTTCTTTCTGCTTAACCACACCCGACTCCATAACTAAGCATCACAAGTAAGAAAAGGGCTCTTTCTTGTTAATACACGATAATTTTCTTTTATTTGTTTTCTGTGGATGAATCAATAGAACAGACTTCTCGTGTGATTGAGGGTTAGTTCCCTCTTTCTTCCATAGGAATGTTTGGGTCCAATGTGAAATCCGATCATCTTTTGCATCTCACTTAAGATGTTTAATCACAACTTGGTCCTGCAGGAAGTTTCTTCCTGTTAAAAGGGTGTTTTTCCTTTCCACTGTCTCCAAGTGCTTGCTCATAGGGTGCCGTCTAACTGTTGAGGTTTTCTCTGTATTACTGTAGGATGTAGAGCTGACTGTTGTTGTGAAACGTAATAAAAATGAAACTGAACTCCTCACATTTCTGTTTCCATAGGGGAAAATAAACCTAAACCTGTACTTAAAAAAGGAATCACAGATGCATGTTTTAATTTCCTGTGTTTAAGTATGTGATAAGGAAAACAACACAGTCAGGATGGTAAAATCTGGAAGCAAAACGGCTTGGCTAAAGTTCATTTTAATGCAATTTCTCCACAAAACATTTGTTAGCAGAGCAGCTTGGCAGGGACGAGGTACAGGTAGAGATGCATAGGCTGTCCCTGCGGAGATGCCAGTCTGCTGTGGCCTTAAATCAAACCGTTGTCAGGTACCGAGCTCTGAGCCGCTCAGCCTGACACAGGGCTTGTGTCCAATCCGCAGTGTTTGCCGGTGGTTGGCCGAGCTCCAGCTTTTTGGCATTACAGCAGCAACTTGAGCAAAGGGCAATGCATGAAACAAGCTGGCGCCAGAGAGAAGGATGACTTGTGGGAAAGTCATGCCCACACACTCCCTCTGTGTGTCTTTAAACCAAAGTGACCCCTGGTTGAAATTTCTAGACAGAGAACTGAAACAAAGCACAAAAACACAGGAGGCGCACGCAGTTATCTGCAGCCCCCTGCAAGGGGGCCATGTGCTGACAAATTTTTAGACGTCAGAGGAGTTATCTCCAAGAGACAGACAACTTATTCCTCAGGCGCACACCTTAATCCTGTGTCGTCATTTCTGCAATTCTCACAGGGGAAACAAAAGGTTTTGTGCTGGTGGGGGCTGTGTAAGTGTGTGTGCTATTATTTTTTAATCGTGCTAAGACATGCTAACGCATGAAAGGCAACCGGTAAAATCTCCTCCCTGAGGCAAACGAAAGCAAACATAGGCGCGCTGAGGTGGGAGGGCTAACCTTTCATCCTGCCCTTACAGGTGAAGTGAGGTTCGTTTTTGGCAGAGCTGTCATCACCCACGAGGCCCTTGGGGCTCTGCTGTACTTCAAGAAGATGGGAGAGGCTTTTTGTGTGGTTGTTTTTGAGTTTATTTCTCGTTTGTTCTTAATTTGTTTTGTTTTTCCTGCTGGATGGTGTTCATGGGGAACAAAGTGGAAGAATTTCCAAAGCCAATTTCCACCCTGTGCCTGCCTTATCTGCAGCTTTTCTTTAGTGCTTTTGATGTGTCAAACCATCACAGCACAGACCACTGAACTGCAGTCTACCTGGACGTATGATTAAAAAATTACCGTTTCACAGATTGCCTATAGTTTTGGCTCGGTTATATTTGGTCTTTTTACTGAATTTCAACAGAAAATAAAGGCAGACGGCTTATTGGTATTGACTGACAGCTAAGCGCGCTGCACAGCAGATACTGGACTCTTAGAAAGTTTTTTCAAAAGAAGCAGCCACTCCTGTCAGAGGGGGGGAGGGAGGCTATCTGCAGCTCAGATCTTTCATTCCTGAGGCTATTACATTCGGAGGCCCTGCTGGCTGGCGATCTGATAGGGATTTCAATTAAAAATGTATTTTATTTTGCTTTTAGCTACACAGAGAAGGCTGCATAAGCAGAAATCGTCTTGTTCTCCCTGCTGTATAGTCGAGTCAGTGTGCGGCGTAGTTTGGTTTTTCCAGCTCTGTATGGGACAAAATAAAAATTATGCATGAATAATAGGTGCAAGCCTCTGGGCTGCAAAAATAAAACAAATGCTTAAATTCCAAAAGCTGCAGCTCCTCTAATGACCACTGGAGGCAGACCCCACAGTTTGGGGTGTTAACATGAAATAAAAATTAAATGCAGCCAGTTTCCTCCTGCATGACATTTTTCACACAGCTCACCTGTTTAAATGTTATAAATGTGTAAAGTAAGCACGGTCAGGAGCAGGAAGGGTTTCTGGCTGAGCTTCTGCTAATCTGAGTCACTAAACTGGATCTATGGACCATGTTTGTGCTGTTGGTGCTTTTTGGAGCAACATGTATCTGGTAACTGTCATGGCTTGCTGTGCATTAAATTTTACACGCTGTCCTGGAAGTCTGTGCTCCAGTCTTGACGCATGAAATTCTCATATATTATGTCTATGCTGTACATTATGTGCGTCTGTGTGGTTTGTTCATACAATTTACGACAACAAAGCATTTGTTAAACTTGCTACCAAAGCATGCTAATGTTTGCACAATTATTTAGACGCTTGTGTTTGATAATGCTAACTTCTGTCCGATAAACACACAACCTGGTGATGCCCCTGAATGTGACTTCACGAATCGACAGGTGGAATCACACTAAAAGATCGCACCCATGGTCTGCTCTCAGTGTTGGTCTCTAGTCTCAAGTTCTTTCAGCATTTGATGCAGAACAGCCAGAAGATGTTGTAGTATCTTTCCCCCAGCCTTTTACACTCGCAATAATCCCTGACCCCCCAATTGATTCTTCTGTTTATCAACAATCCATGATACTAACACAACGCTATCAGCGAGAGAGCCCTGAACACAGATCACCTCTGGATCCTCCGTGCTCAAGCTGAGTGTCTGCAGACCTCAACCGACCAACTACAGCTTGATTTTTACTAATGAAGAAGATGAACAGGCCTGTAGGATTGCACATTTCTACCTGTACTCATTCCTACACTAGAATCTGTTTATTTTTGACTGTAACATCTAAACATGTTAGTAAAAGAAAGGTCTTCAGTATATATTCTTTACTGGCATCGATATTTATCCAGATATGTTGGAGGATAAAAGTTCAGAGTTGTATTGTTAATTACACGGGCGATGTTGCAAAGCCATGCAAACGTAATGCAATAAATATTGTAACAGTAGCCTAACACTGCTTATCATTAATGAGAAAAACACACATTTTATGGCTGTAGTTTGTTCACTCAATGCAATTTGACCACTGCACTCTTTTGTCTAAATATGGTGAGCACACAAACCAATGAATGATGAAGTCACAGTTGTTATGTCCATCTTTTAAATATAGTTTCTCGTGTGTGCATAATAACGCTCTCTCTGTGTAAAATATATTAATATTGTGATGATGAAGATAAAATGGAGAATGCATTCAGTATGCTCGCAATCAAAAAACCGTCCTGCACATCTCACCGTTTCTGCCACTGAAAGATTTCTTTCAAAGCTTGAAATGTTCTGAAACCACACTGACAGGATCTACTTTCTTTCAAAGAAAACTGTAGTGCACACAACAAAAACACTGAAAGTTACATCAGTGTATGTGAGTCGCTTTGATGTGGACTGAAAGGAGCAATCACCATGTTCCCTTCTGTCTCTCTGAAGAAGTTCAAATACTAAAAAATAGCGTATTGAGGTAATGTTCTTTCTTAGAAATGTATGTGAATTACTCCCAGAACAAAAACAGCAGGTAGCCGTCTGCACATCAGAAATATTGGAGACTGTGTGGGAGCATGAAAGCTGACCACGCACATGCTTGCAGAAACTGTGCAAAGATAAGTCTTTCTTGGAAAATGAAAACTCAAATGCATCTCCATTAACAGCCTCTGTCCACTAATGCTTTTTCAGAGAGGGAGGTCAGTAGTCATCAGGAAAACATGCCTACAAAAAATGTTCGCCTTTGTAAGCATAAAGTCTATTTTTCATCATCTTTTCAAAACAGTAAATGCCACAAACACTCTTGTGTGTAGAGCAGGGCGATACGAACAAAAATATTTATCACGATATACATTTGAAAATTTGCAATAACGATATAACTGACGATATAACACTTTACGACTCCACAACTTTATTAGTGCAAAAAAACCCAAAACCCATCAATGTATTTTCACTTAAACAAGCAGCTGTTTTTTTTTATATCCATTAAGTTATATAAAAATTTAACAGTGCAAATGCAAATTCCTCGCTGACAGTTTAACCAAAAGGCATTTCCAGTGGAAACTGGCCGACATATCCTCAGCATAACCATGTATAATATCCACAAAACTTAAAAGAGGTTATACACACACAATATGGTAATATTACTTTGAAGCACAGTACGTATCACTCCGCGAGGCTCCTGCCTACGATAGCTGTAATGCTCCAACAATCCATCAAGCTTCGTAGCTTAGCAAAGTCGTACTAAAACATTTGACAGATTTTCGAGCGCCGTGCACATAAAATCGTTTCCAGGTCAGTAAACACAACCAGAATTCATACATAAGGCACACGGGATTATAAGGGGCACTGACGACTTTCAGAAAAATCAAAGGATTGATTTTAAGTGCGCCGTATTTTCCAAAAAACATGGTAATAACGGCCCGCTAGCATGCTCTACCAAAAATAGTGCTTTGTTGTGTATCTGAGGGACGAAAGCTAAACCAGTTCCACACCACTGAAGTTGCAGCATTTTTACAAACCAGTTCTGGTTCATCTGTTTCATTCAACGATCCACTTTCACTCTTCTCATTCTCCGTCGCCGCCATGCTTTTTCCGCCATGTGCTTATGAAAACAAAGGCACTGCGCATGCGCGTTTTACCCATATCGCCATATTTCATTTTCCTATCGTTGCCGAACGTTATACCGGTATTATCGTGAACGATATGATATGACCCAGCCCTAGTCGGGTGTATGGCATTACTGTGCTATATTCTTTAATCACATTACAGTTACTAATCAAATAATCATTTTCATTTATTGCACAAAATAACAAGAATGCGATGGTTACAAACTGCATCCAGGCCAGAAACAGCCGTTCACTGCTGCTAACGTTGTGACATGGACTGTTTTCAAGCATCTGTGCAGACGGCAGAGTAACATAAAGCTACACAAGGAACACGGAGCGACGTTATTTAAAAATGAGCGCATGCTGAACCCGGCCCAGCAGCCAGAGCCCGATCTTCAGCAGCTAAGAGTGATGAGCACTCAGGCTTGTACCGCTGTAGCCTCCAATTATACCCCATCCTGCTTCTATAGAAGAATCAATCATTGTTTTGTAGACCCTTTAACAACATCTTGTAGTAGCAATATTGGCAAATAGAGCTTGTAGTAAACAGGGGGAATAAGGGAGGTATTAAGGAACTTCTTCTCGGCTCATTGGTTTGAAGAAAAGGCATCACGGTGCAACGATCCTTTTAATCAACAATCCTTTTAATCTTTGCTTGAAACACCATAAAAAGGGTTTTATCCATAAGTGACTTGTTATTTTCAGTTACATTAATATAATATTGCTTTAACTTGTTCATTTTATTTGGGATTGAGTACTGTATTTCTAATGATGTTTATTATTTGTTGAAAGTACTGTTAAAGCTGCTTCTCTAAGCTGTCAGTATAGACTTCTGACTCGTGCAATAATATGTTTTTTCAAATTGTTGTATTATTGCTTTCTTTTGCATCGCTACATCCTAAAGGTGACTGTGGAGGCCACCTAAGTGCAGTGAACCCATTCTCAAGTTGAAGAAACCCACTTGAGATCATTTGAGCTTAATGACATTATCCTGCTGGAAGCAGCCATCAAAAGATGTGGTCATAAAGGGATGGACATGGTCAGAAACAATACTCAGGTGGGCTGTGGTGTTTAAATGTTTAAATGATGGTCAGGTGGCATTAAGGGGTCCAAATTTTCTCAGTAAAATATCCCTCACACATTACAGAGCCAACACCAGCTTAAACTGGTGATCCATCACAGGATGAATCCATGCTTTCATGTTGTTTGCAACAAATTCTGATGCTACCATCTGAATGTCAAGACTCATCAGATCAGGTGTTGTTTTTCCAGTCTTCTGTTGTCTAATTCTGGTCAGCCTGTGTGAACTATAGCCTCAGTTTCCTGTTCTGAGCTAACACCAGTGGCACCCAGTCTGGTACTCTGGATACCTTAATCTCATCTGACCTCTGAAGCCTAAATAAAACACAGGTGGGACATACAATAACTAAGGAGAGAAGACAAAGGCAGGAAGTAAAAACAGAGTAAAAGGTGAAGCAACTATGGCAACAAGACAGGACTTGGAAACTTGAAAGATGAAGACAAGATAGCAGATGGCAACATAAGAAATATCCGAAAGAGTAACCAAAGATTTCAAATAAACACCAGATAAGAACCCAGGCCATGTCACACTTTAAATCGCTTTCTTCAGGGTGGTAAATATGTAACATAATGGATGACTTTTTAATAACAGTAATAACTTTTATAACAACTCCAAACACTTGTCACAAATTTTATACTAAAGAACAGGATATCTGGCCTCATCCTACACCTGCTTATAGTCAGATAATAAGTTAACCAGAACTAATTTGCACTGCTGAAGAAAGCAACATAATTATATATCGTTATCATAAAATGATAATCATCTGCTGCAGACATTAATTAATTTTGCACTGGTAGAAAACTGGTGGAGTGCCAGTCAAAACACACACACACACAAATTCCTGTTCTTTCCTTATCAGCTGCTTCGGCTAATGTTGTATGAGAAAGCAGATACGATTGCGTAATTGCGAAGTCAACCAAAACAGACTCAAATGCAGCACCACCACTCAATCACCGTCTGCAAGCGGCCCCCTGAGCTCAGTGTCTGCAACATTCATTTGCCTGGGGGCAGATTTAATAGAGCGGTCACGCTGTGTTGGATAAACACCAAACAAGGACACACTAAAAAACGTTTAAAATCCTCATTTAAGGTTTTAGGTCAGACACAAGAAAAATGTCCTCAAGTGCACGAGTAATTCTTTTATCATTAATATTTATAATAAAAACAAAAAGGGATTTTGTTTGGAAGACCGTAGCATACACGGACCTTTGTGAGACATTTTAACTTCTTTTAACTATTTCTCCATAAACAGCGAGCGCAGTAATGCAGGTGCCACACTGACCCATCAACTGTTCTCAGAGAGGGCATGTCAATCCCTTGTTTCTCATTATTTTCTAAAGCTGTGCCAAAATCAGAGGTCAGCTTGACATCAATAGAGGCGTGCTCTCAGGCTGACATTGGCCGATCACCGGGGCTTTACTCCGCAGAGAGAGAGCCTCAAAAATAGTGAGAAATGCAGATCAGCTGGGATGATGTAGCAAAATGAGAGACAGGCTCACTCTAAAATATGAGCTGACAGATCAGATTAAATGTGGCTGTCTGCTGTTTGAGTGGTCGTGGAGTGAGAGGCTGCAAATCTCACATTTCTTAGCAGTATATGCAATAAACATGTAATATAAATAATATTATTAAAGCTTAAACAGGCATCAGAAAATCTACAATAACATTTCAACAGGTGAGTTTCTTGAATGTTTCAGATACATCTGCAGCTCCTCTGCTGAACTGACTGCTTGTAGTGCTCAAAGATGCTTTTATACAATGAACCCATTCAGACAAGCGCTTTTTCTACACTTGACTGATTTCTATCTAACGTTCACACACTGATGGAAGCAACCGAGAAACCTGCTCTACCTCCTGAGCTACAGATCCAACGGCCGAAAAAATGACCTGCAGCCACCAACGTTTTCCTCGATGCAGGGAGGCCGTTGTCCTACTTTCACTCTAATACGCCTGAGCCTTAAACTGACTACATGTACCTAACTGTAGGATGGCGGTATCCAGTTGACTCGTCCTGTATGACGTTAACAAAAGTTAGTATAGTTTTTATGTGCCAAATGTAATAAGGAGACCCACTGAGATTTTGGACCACACCTTTCTTTAGAAATATGTTTTTCCTCCAGATAAATGATCGTCTGTCACTCAGGAGGTAGAGATTTCTTGCTACTAACTTCAGTCCTTTGTCAAGATACTGATTGCTAAATTGTGAGGTCTGCGGCGTGGCTGAGGGGGAGGCGGACGTACCTGAGCAGCATCCGCAATCTCGCCTCGCTGGCTTAAAAAGAATGAACTAGGTCGTGTTGTTGTTGGTGATGTGTGTGGGCTGTAGTTGAAAAGCTGGATGCAGCGGATGCTCATATTATTAACGTAACTGCCGCAAATTTCTTTGTAAAAGTGATTCCGATGTTAAACGTTAGTTCCCCGTGACTTTTCTGCCAGGTAACCTGTCAGAACTCTAATCCATGCAGCTAAATCAAATGATTTAGGTTCATGAATGTGGCTTAGAAAAGGTGCTTTGTGTGGTCTGTTGAAGTATATATGCATCACTGCAAACAATACCCCACACTCAGGTGCCCACAGATTGGACGACACTAATCTTTGAATGCTGCTATAATTTTAATCCAAACAACAAACCTGTAGAGTTTCATGAATGCACCTTGCACAGTTGCTATCGCTAATGACATCATATTGACAAAATCTCTCCAAACTCACTGCTCAGTCAAAGTCAGGCCTCACATTTCCACAGTCCTCAAACTGGAGTCTTTTCTCTCTGCGGTAAACTTTCTCAACAAGGACTAAAGATGACAGATAGAACAAACAAACCTCTACATTTCACACTGAACTAAATTTAGAAACAAATGTGCCCCATGTAACGTCACTACATTAGTCTGCAACGTGGAAACAGCAACCTTTATTAGATATCTGGATTTGTAGCCTGAAGAACAGATTTATGATACAGCTTTTTTTTAATGGCACTTTCAAGTCAGTTCATTTCTCAGTAAATAAAGGAGAGTTGAAGGAAATGTCTGCTTACCTGCATGGACACGGCTCGAACTTGAATTGTTTTCGGTTGGGAAAACAGCTGGGGATCAGCAACACGCAAGGTGAACTCACCGCTCCTGCAGGAAGACGAAGAAAGGGGAACTCTTAAATGAAGACAAATCTTGGAGTAGGGAGACTAAACTTCACCATCCCTTATTTCTGAAATTGCTTTAAAAACTGCTTTAAAAATGTGACAGGCTTGGCAGCTGAGGAAAGTGGGGAAATGAGTGCCGTGAGGGTAGCATGCTGTGTTGTCATTAGACCTGATCACCTGTGAGTTATCTGTGGGAGTGGAGGTGAGCTATCACAAACACACAAAAGCCCACCTGCTCACACACTCATCATCATCATCAATGCGCCCCCCTACACTGCTGCCTTACCATATTCCAAGCCAAGGCTTATTACCCACAACTCCCCAGGGCTGCAGCTGGGAGACATCCAGAGAGTCTGAAGATCAAATAACCGAGCGGGTTGTTTGTTTTAGTGACAGAAAGGAAAAAGCCAAGTGCTTAGGTGCTTTTTGGACTGCAGTAGCATCTTTGAAAGTTGCTGACAAAAGTCTGCTGAACGTTGTTTTCTTAATAGTTTTAACGGTCATGGTCCTCTGGTCCATGTGTTTCTAGTTTCTCCTGCCTCACTGGCACCACGTTTCATGCCAGTCTTCACATGCTCACCCATCTCGTTTTAGTTTCACTTCCTGCTTTTGGTCTGGACGTCTCTTCCTGCAGAGATGCTGAGATGTTCTCAAGCTAGTTGAGAGAAATAATCCCTGACTTACTGCCAGTAAAAACACACCAAACTGCAGCTCTACAGTGAAACAGCCACAGAAACAGCCCAGATACACGTAAAGTATGGAGTTATATTAAAGTAACAGAATATATTTCTGAAAAATAGTCGCTGAAGTTGTAAATCTCATTTTCTGTGCAGAGTGTTGCTGTTGCTGGTACATGTCTTCACTTCATTATAGATGAGAGAAAGATTTTTTTTTAAATGCAGCCTTGAGACAAGTGGAAAGGCTTCTGATCAGTAGTAAAGTCTACCACTCAAAGAAATAAAATTCATTTTATGTCAGCGTCTTGATCCATGGCATGTTTTTCAAAGGCACTCGTGAATGAAAATAACTCATTTTGAAAGCTCAAAAGAGTTTGTCTGTAACAGCAATCAACATTTAATCTTTTTATTCATCATTCGTCCATTTTTTCCCACCATCATCTGAACGCAGCGCATGTTTTTGGGTTTTTTTCTGATGGACACATCTCCTCTTACGGGAATTAAAACCTGTTACCATGTGCTTGCTGTTCTGGGTCTACAGCCGTCATCCTCTGCTTGACATAATTTGAAAAATATGGCAGATTTAATCTCATTTGGAGTTTTACATTTTTCTGTCTCCATTAATCTAATGGCTTAAACCTGTACAGAGGATCACATTTTGCTAATTCACTGGCATGCTGCCATTTTAGGCCTAACCAGCTGAGTCAGGATTGACCAATATGACTGCTCTGTCCATTCAGACTGAGTGAGTGGACATCTGTCCCAAACACAGCGACAGAGGGGAGGCTGCAGAGAACAATGGGCAACATTTCTCATCCATTAACATAAGACTGCCTTTTGATTTTCAGCTGCTTGGTTTTCCTTTCAGGATGTCAGGGGTCAGCGCTCTTTAATGTCTGCTTTCTGCTGTCTACACGTATCTGCAGCTTCTGTGATTCCCGGCACGGAGTGCACTCAGACTGGGGTCAAACAGAAAGAAATGCAGATTATGCAAATATGACCACATTAACCCAAACATGTAAATGTAATGCATCTCACATCCATGTTCAGGTTAATAGAAATGAACTTTGGAGTCCAGAAGCAGCATAAATCAAACAGGAAACTTTGACAAGGAGTGAAAAATTAAATGTCAGGATAGTCATTAATGAGAAGGAAGGAGATGATGAGCTTAAAGGGATAGCTTATCCCAAACTGTGGATAAAACTAACAGTTATAGTGATCAGGTCAGAAAGGTCTGAGGAGTCTAAGGAGACATGCACAGACCTCCTTCTCCCCAGACACCACCTCCAGTAAGTCCTGGATTTACCCAAGGTGCATTCTGGTCATCAAAGGAAGCTCATGTCTGCTGCGTATCCACAATCTGATTCTTTTGGTCACACCCACAGTTCACAGCCACAGGTGAAATGTAGATCGGCTAGTAGACAGACAACCTCACCTTTACATCCAGCTCTCTTCACCACAACAGACCAGTACAGAATCTGCATTTCCCACTGCACTCAACCCTTGAATAAGACCCTGAGGTTCTCAAAGTTCTCCACCTAGGCCAGCAAGTGGAGGAGTGTCCACCCAGCTGAGACCCACCTGAATCTGGAGGTCATCACTCAATGACGCCAACACATCCAGGTTCTACTAACCGATGTTAAGTTGTTAAGTCACGTTAGGCTCGCTAAGATATCTTATTACCTTTAATTTTGAGTTAATTGTTTTTGCACATAAAAAAATGCTTGAAAAAACCAGAAAGAACTACAAAGACAAAGAAATATCTTGGTACCATTTCATCTAAGATCTGTCCTTTAATCGAGGTCGGCTAAATCATCCCCGTGTGTGTGTTATCTCTGGTTTTGCACTATGAATTAGTCCTTAGTCCTGTCACTGTCTAATGCCTCTTCCACCAAAATAAATCCTTATTACTTGGTGGGACTTTTGGGACAGCGGAGGCACAAAGTAAAGATATAATCAGAATGATCATGAAAACCACCCAGAACAGTAGAAGCAGTCCGTTAGATTACGTTAGGTAACATTTTTGCTGTACATGGATGGAGTTACAAAATTGCACACCTTGGCAAAGCAGTGCCTGCCACCCAAAAATTCATAAATTATCATTAAACAAGTATAAGTATAGTAGCTCTGTGACTGAATACGTCCAAGTATTGTGTCAAACTCATGTCTGAGAAAAATACTTCCAGGCAAAATACAGAAAAAGTTTTGTCCGTCTTACTGACCTGTCTTTGTCTCTCTGGTATTGGAATCGGACCCGACCGTGCCTCAGCTCTGCCCACGTGAACGTGTCGTCCTTCTTTATTTCTCGGCCTCCCGTCTCTTCGCCTTCTTCCCCTCTGAACAGGACCAGCCGTCCGTTACTCGGCTTCTGAACAAGCTGAAAGATCAGCTGCTCAGACGGACTGTCTGGGTCTTCCACCTGCAGCAGGGTGGGGAGCAGCGGGGCAAAACCATCAAAGGGAACCAGCAGGGACCCGTTGACATGGAGGGCAGGTGTGTGGGCGTTCACTGAGAGGACCAAGAAAAGAAAAACTCAAATCAATAACCTCATTAAAGCCAAGCTGGTGGAACACAAGTAAATTCTCTTACAGTGCATTTTAGATCCTTCTTGTGCAATACACAACAAATAGCAAACTTTCTTATACCTGTGGGGAAATTCATCGTCATGGATCCTCCAAAACAAGATTAAAGCAAAACTGGATTATCAACGAGTATTTTTTAATAACAGAATGGGAACTTGGAAGGTAGGAAAATAATCAGAAATAGAAATACTGAGTCGTTTAATCCATGCACAGCATCAAAAGTACATTTGTGAATGATTTACTGAAAAAAGCCATCAAAGTAACTGGACTAATAACCAGTGTACAATAATAATTTGGTTTAAAAAAGCATCCAATTATCTTCATTAATACATTTTAATGCCTTCTTTAAATATCTGTTGGCATGGAGTTGTAGTCGGTCGGCGTAGAGGTTGAGAGGAGGTTATAAACTGAAAATGAAAAAAGTGCGTGTGGGAGAAATGGCAGACATATCACGAGTGAGACATCTCGGCCTTGGCGTGGCATTTTAGAAGTTGGCTCTAATTGGTGCTGACTTTGTTGGGGAACTTTTTAAAGATCAGCTCTTTTTGAGATGCCACCCTAATCTCATTATACCTCCCGTAATGATGCCAGCAGGCATGCTTAAATCTCAAACTCTGGGCCATGTAATTATACTTCCAAATGAGAAGAAGTCTATAATTTAAAGCAATAGTTCCTGAACTTTTTTTTTTAGGGGGGGCTGCCAATTTTTTGTTTTTAAAGAGCAATTTTTTCTCCATTTTACTTCATTAACGTGTGGATTAGCTGAAGGCTAAAAATGTTCATTATTTTACAAGAAAACGCATTTATCAGAAAGTGCGTGATAATATATTTCTTAATTATAAATATGCTTTGTCACTTTTCATTAAGAACTACAGTCTGCGCCTCAAGGCCTCGGGCATTTCAGCCTGCGGGTTGTTTTAAGATAAAAGAGGAAAAAAATTAAAGTACAAACTCTTTTAACATCCTAACTCTGCAGACAAAGCCTCCCCAGTCTTATTCAGGAGGACCAATTAAAAGTCACCAACAGGAACCTTCTAATTTCAGACAGATGTTAGCAGTCTTAGCTTCCAGTTCTTCCAGTATCTTTATATTTGACCTGCAAAGACTTACATTTGTTATCAGTTTTCAAATTTGACTTCATAAGATGAAGTTCTATAGACCTTTTTCACCTCTAGATAGAGTCTGATTGATAGTTTATTTACGTTCGTCAGTGACTGAGAAACACAAATTAAATCAAGAGTTTTGCTGGGATCTCAGCAGATCAGCTGATCTCAGTGCCAGTCCACATCAGCTGACACTTCTATATATCCACCCGCTCTCTCATACAGAGAACACTATTTATGTAGCTTTAGCTTGCCTACTGCACACTGAAGCTCATGCGAGCGGTATCTGACGTATTCAATGGCGTAATCTCTTATCTTACTTCTGTTCTCACTCCTCTGGTTTTCAATGCATGGAAGGTTTTTTCCTTTCAGTAACAACCACCTGTAATATTTAGGCCCTCTGCTAAAAGTAACTGAGATTTTTTTTATTCAATCTTAAATACTTTTTTATGAACTGGTAAAAAAGAAAACCAGGAGAACGTCTTCTATTATATTACCACAGACTCTTTGCTTTAACTGTGAATGGACCGATCATAGTAACTCCCAAAAGATTTTAAAAACGGGAAAAACTGACATGGAAATAAAAAGTTGTGGTCCTGACTCATGTTAACATGGTCTTTATGTTCCAAACATTTAATTGCGATCACAAATGCTACCTACTGAAAATATATAACCGGTCTGCTTGGTTGTGAGTTTCTTTGTGAAAAATACAATTGAAGCCTTTAATATGTTCTGATATATTACTAATACTATATTACAGTTGCTATGACCTTTATCTTCAACTGGAATCACTGTATCTGGTCTTTTTTTTTTTTTTTTCAAAATAGCTGTTGTGAGCAATACTGCATTTATTTATTTATTTATTTATTTATTTTTCTCCTTTTTTTAAATCATTCTCCCTCAGATATTTTTATTAAAGTTTCTGGATCCATTTTTACAAAAGGCAAATTGAACAAATGCCGTTTTCTTTTTGAAGAACATAAAACAATATGAAACATACACTCCCACCTCATGATTATAGAAGTACCAGTGGGTGTACAAAAAGAAAGGGTCCAATCTAATAATACGAATAGTAAACCCTGGAGTACAAGATAGCAGTTCCTGAGTGTACAAGAGAGATGTGGAGCGTTTCAGAGCCCACACCCCCACACAGACACAGAAAAAACAAAACACACAAACCAAAAAAAAAACACAAACATAATGAGTGGTCAGCTTAGTTGTAGAGATAAGTCAAATCTGTAAGAGAAAAGAAATATGTATAAAGTAGGTAAGTAAATGCCATCATAAGGCGCAGGCACAATAGAGTCCATATACTTAAACTTAAACATAAGATAAAATAAAATAGAATAAAGTCTGAGCTGGCTAATTGGGAGCGTTGCGAGACCGCAAAGTCTGAACATGTCAAAAAAGGGTTGCCAGGTCTTAAAAAATTTGGCCATAGACCCACGCAGGGTGAATTTAATCTTTTCGAGTTTGCTAAAATGCAAAGCGTCTCTGATCCAGATTTCCCAGGATGGGGGAGAAGGGGACTTCCAACATAACAATATTCTGCGTCTTGCCAATAAGGTGAGAAATGCTACCAGATCCGCCTGGGGCGTCGGCAAGGCAACTATATCAGGAAGAACCCCAAACAAAGCAGTTAAGGGCACAGGTTGGAGGGTTAGCTGGATGATCTTTGATAAAGTCAGAAAAATATTAATCCAGTATTGTTTGAGGGATGGACATGACCAAAACATATGTATTAGAGAGGCAGGTGTTTGATGACAACGGTCGCAATCAGGGCTAAGGTTGGGGTATATTTGAGCTAGTCTGGCTTTAGTCCAGTGTACACGGTGCAAACTCTTACATTGAATCAACCCGTGTTTGGCACATAATGAGGAGCCATGGACCCGGTAAAGAATTTTATCCCAAGAGTCATCCTGAATCACACACCCCAAATCCTGCTCCCATGCCGTTTTAATAGCCGAGGTTGAGGAGTTGCCGAAGGAACATATTCTCCCATACAGACAAGAGATCAGGCCCTGTGATGAAGGGGGGGGCGATAGAAGGTTATCAAAGTCATGACAAGGAGGTCTAGATGGGAACTGGGAGGATTTCTCCTTAACAAAACTCCGGATTTGTAAGTAGCGAAAAAAGTGACTTTTTGGAAGGCCAAATTTCAATGAGAGCTGTTCAAAGGAGGCAAATGTATTCTGACTGTACAGATCAGAAAAAGACCTGATACCCAAGGAGGCCCACAAATAAAAAGCACCATCAACTAACGAAGGCTGAAAAGAGGGATTTTTCAAAATGGGTGACTGAAGGGAAAAAAAGGTCAACTTAAAATAACGACGAAATTGATACCATATTTTCAAGGTAACTTTGGCAATAGAGTTATTATAAGAACCTGCACTCGGAGGCTGCTTTTGGGCATAAATCAGGGCTGGTAAAGAGGATGAGGCACAAGAAGAAGTCTCCAAACTGAGCCAGGCCGGGGCATTATTCATGCCTTCCCCCTGTAGCCAGTACCTGAGAATACGAATATTACATGCCCAATAATAGAACATAAGGTTTGGTAAAGCCATCCCCCCCATCTTTTTCGGTCTTTGAAGATATGTCTTGCGTATTCTAGGGTTTTTTTGTTCCAAATGAACCCAGAGAGAATCTTGTCTAATTTAACAAAAAAGGAAATTGGGATAAATACAGGGACACACTGAAAAAGAAAAGAAAATCTTGGGAGGATATTCATTTTAATTGTATTTATGCGCCCTGCTACGGACAGATGGAGTAGAGACCATCTGTCCAAATCCTGCCTAACTTTCTCCACAGGTGGGTCGAAATTAAGCTTGAAAAGAGTATGAAATTGACTTGTAATTTTAACCCCTAAATATGTGAAGTTGTCCGATACAACTCGAAAAGGCAGTGCTGTGCACTGATATTTCTGTGCAGCAGCATTCAGGGGGAACAGTTCACTCTTAGTGAGATTCAGCTTATAGCCAGAAATAAGGCTAAACTGTTCAAGTATTGAGAGCACCAAAGGAAATGAGGATGCTGGTTCTGAGATATAAAGAAGCAAATCATCTGCGTATAAGGAGACCCTTTGTTCTATACCATTTCTAATAACCCCGGTGATACCTGGGTTTGATCTCAGCAATATGGCCAGGGGCTCAATTGCAACTGCAAAGAGCAACGGTGACATGGGACAGCCCTGCCTAGTCCCCCTAAACAGAGGAAAAAAGTCAGAACATGTGCCATTTGTTTTGACAGCGGCAAGCGGGAAAGTATAAAGAAGTTTCAACCAGGAGATGATTATTTTACCAAAGCCGAATTTATCCAAAACATAAAGAAGGTATCCCCACTCGACCCTGTCAAAAGCCTTCTCAGCATCTAAACTGATCCCAAACTCAGGGCTGTTGGAGTCTGAGGGATTGTAAAGAACATTGAACAAACGTCTAAGGTTAGAGAAGGCATATCTCCCTTTAATAAAGCATGTTTGATCCGGGTTAATTAGAGATGGCAAGACTGCTTCCACATGCATCGCTAAAAGTTTAGCAAGGATTTTATAGTCCACATTTAACAAAGAAATGGGATGGTATGAGCCACATTGTAATGGATCCTTATCCTTTCTGTTCTTTTAAATGATCAGTATTAGAGGGGTATTTGGACACAAATACACTAAATCATAACTGGGTTTTCTTCAGGTATGAAAGGTTAATAATGTCTTTAGTTTTTCCCCATCGAGTTGACAGAAACTGTAGGGTCAGGCTTGGAAGAGGGATGGGCTGAGAATGGGGTATCAAGTTGGGTACAGTCCACCATTTAATCCAGGGATGTTGAACTCCAGGCTTCGAGGGCCGGTGTCCTGCAGGTTTTAGATATCACCTTGGGTCAACACACCTGAATCAAATGATTAGTTCATTACCAGGTTTCTGGAGAACTTCAAGACATGTTGAGGAGGTAATTTATCCATTTAATCAGCTGTGTTGGATCAAGGAAACATCTAAAACCTGCAGGACATCGGCCCTCGAGGCCTGGAGTTCGACACCTGTGATCTAACCAATGGATAGGCACAAATCTTTCACACTCCATCCATCATATTAAATTTAGCCTATCCCAGCTAATAACCTCCTCTCCCTTTACAACAGCCACACATGCCAAATATGTTCATGTGTTGGATGAACATCTCTGGCTCATGTGATGAGATTGAGCCGTCAGCAGAAGCATACCTTTGGGAATTTAACCTTTTTAACCTTATATAAGACACGACGTCCTGGCAGTAACTGCAGTCATGGCTGTCTCCCCATTCCTTTACACTGATACGGTCTTATTAACCCAAAACAGGTGCCCAGCACGGCACGGATCAGTGCTGTAATTTGCCTAAAAAGTTCAAAACACGTTCTCTAAAAAGCTGCTTGCCAAATTTGAAACACAGCACACCCCATGTGTGATAGACGGGTCACTCATTAGCGTCAGAGTGACGATCTGACCACAGTTCAGCATTGAGCTGCACAACGTGGCTGAGGACTGCCAATGACAAAACTGCTCACTGAGTCGAGTGTGTCACAATAAAAGCACCACTGCGACACAAAAGTACGAGCTGCTGGTGAAACTTTATCATGACATTTGTTGCTGTGCAACTTCAAACTGACAACACGTTTTACTGTATAAGCTTTATTTTTGGAGGGACATTAACATTTTGCAGCTTAACCTCCTCCACAGCATCACACACTTTTTCTGTTAGCAATGTAAATTTGCTTTTGTGTAATATCTTGTGGTCATTTGCATTATTTATGTGGGCATCTTTAGTTTATTTGCATATAAGAAAAAAGCTCCCACTGGTACAGTGCTTGATACATGATGCTGTGCTCAGTTTAGAAACCTCCCAGCTGAGAGAGAGAGAGTGACCTGGACCTACTCCCAGGCCTCCCAGTTTGGCTGCAGAATTCACCTACTGTTGGTCTTTAAACTGTATTTATGCAATTCTTCTTATCAGAATTAACAGATTTGAAGTCTGGGAGCTTTCGATCAATAAATTAAAGGACTTTTCTGCTATGTAATGATAACTGTTTGCAGTTTTAAAACCAACATAGGCATCATGTTATTACCGTGACAGGTCCTGGTCTTCTGGTCTGCATAGTATCCATGTCCACAGTCAGGAGTGCAGTATCCTTCCATGAGGTAGGTCTGATTACGACAAGCTCTGCAGAGTCCGTTCCCGTCGCAGAGCACGCAGTCGGACGAGCAAGCTGAAGGAAAAGATCCAAATTATTCAAATATTATTCAAATTAGAAAAATGCTTCTTTTTGTTTTTACACAAGTCTTCAACTTTAAATGTTTTAAATGTCTATTATACATTTATTTTTCAAACTAAATTAATACTCTGATCTTCATAGAAACAGTCTTTAAAAGTCTATCACTACATATAGAAATAGAATAAAAAGAAGATGTATATTCTTACATTTGCAAGCTTTGGAAGATGCATCCAGGAAGTAGTTTCTGCCACATTCGAGCACACACTGGCCGTGCAGCGTGGCGTAGGGAGGCTGGCATTCCTGGCACTGTCCAGGACCTCGACAGTCCAAACAGTGATCATCACAGCCTGTCGCAGAGAGCAAAACATTTGAAAAAAACAGTGATATAGTAACTGAGTTAAAGACATTATTTATTTTATCACCAGATATTTTCTTAATGTGTTTTTTGGCTACTAGCACCGGTGAAAAAAGTAACATGGAGTCACACAGAAGCTGTATTACAGACTGCTAATGCACACATGCATTAATCAGTTTGCTTAGGCTTGTATGAATGTGTGTGACTGAGTGAATGAGGCTTGCTGAGAGTAGAAAAGTGCTATACACCAGTCCATGCAGTTGATTTGGCCAGTTCATACAACTTCTACATATAAAAGCTCTTTTAAGGAACCTTTTAGTTCAGCTGCTGCTGATTATCTGCTTTATTAAGATTGGCTGCGTTAGCAATCGATTAGGAAAAACAACTTCAAATGGACACAAATGTACAAACAACAGTGTAAAAGCCCAGAGGAAGCTCTTTGTGCAGCTACAATAGCACCGACTGCATGTGAAGTGGGTCAATTTATCTGCTTTTTGTTGGACTGACCGAGGCATCTGTCTCCGTCCTGATAGGAGCCAAAGGAGCACCCCTGTGTGCACACTCCCTCCTGCAACACGTAGGCCTCCATGCACTGCAGGCAGTCAGTCCTCAGGGGGCCTTTACAGGCATTGCAGCTCCAGTCACACTCTGCAAACAGGATGGACGGTAGCAGAAAAGGAGTGAGAGGAGGAGGTGTACGTGCATGTGTGTGTTGGGACATTGGGATTAGAAGTGAGGGGATTTTAGAGGTGAGAGCAAATAGTGAGAACAGAACAGAAGAGAGGGAGGGCGAGAGACCAAAAGAGATTAATCAACTTTTTTTTCTCTATGGGATTGATTTTAAAGCCATTTGTGCTTCTTTCTCTCTCATCACCTGCACATCTGTTGTTTGTCCTGTGCACAATTAATACAGGCACGAAAATGAAGCACAGTTGGGACTCTTCATGCTTGTATGACCTTCTACATTTGTATTAAACCTGAAGATGAAACTAAGCAGGATACACAGTTTGTGGAGCAACTACACATACAGTGAAATGCTACATTTTCTTAAAACGTATCAAATATACAAATTAGCCATAACTGTAGCCCAGAAAACTTCTGAGCACATCAAGCTGAACTCTGAAAAAGGGACACATGTCAGCGAGGCGACTGGTGTCTGGGCATTAGTGCCGTTCATGTGAATCAGTGAAGTGGACCTGGCACCATGTTTGTGGTGTTGGTGCCTTTCAGATCACTTTAAATGAAACGATCTGAGTAATAACATGGCTTTGTGCTCGGTCCAAGACGTTTTTCTTCCGTTTTGGTTCTAGTAATTGATAATCTGCTGATAACTCCAGCCTTTCATCCACAAATCACCTCAGTCTTCAATAAAACAACACAGTGATCCAGTATGCTTTACAAACCTATGGCTAATAACATGGTGGCAGCGTCCTTCCTTAAATATACAGCATGCAGCCTCCTGCTGTGATGCTAAGTTAATTAATATTCTAATTTCCTCATGCAAGTTTTCCTTGGGGTCAATCTTTGATTTTTTTGTTTATATTATGGCAATATATATATATATATATATATATATGTATATATATATATATAATAAACAAAATGACGAAATTATATATAACAGCCACCATGAAAACTAGTTCATCTCTTAGTCTGTCTTCAGCATCTACCTTTGTTTTTAGGTGATAGTGGGAGGCAAACGGTGGGATCTGAGATGTAAATGAGGGATTTCTCAGTGGACAAAGATCACTGATAAAGCCAAACAAATGTAGGTTTTGGTAGTGCTTAAGGGTTTGTAAGAGACTCTCTCTGAGAACTTTGAAAGCTCCCCCGAGGCTGTGAAATGAAAGCTCCCAAAGTTTCTCGAAGCTGTTTTGGTTTTTGAGAGAGCTGATAGCCGTGGTGCTTTTAACTCTCTGGGTGCATCTAAGGTTCAGTGGATTAACCAGGGGGGTAAACACCATCATGAGCTGGATGGCTAAAAACCACCTGTCTAAGTGGGAGGCGCTGCTCGCTGGCTCAGAGGGAATCAAAATGTTTATTTAGCCCGGAGCAGCTAGCTTAGCTTCTAATCCCATAACAGACATGTGCAGTGTTGGTTCAGCCTCTGGGACCGGTTCCTTTGGGCCCCCGATACCTGGAAAAACCTTACTGCACTGGACTGAATCAGTGATAAAGGGTGATTTCCGCTTTATGTGAAATAACTTACTGTGAATTAAAGCATATGGTACATCAGCGTAACAACAGTCATGGGCTGAAATTAAATCTTATGCAGTCATTATTCTTTGATCCGGAAAAAGGAAAACGGATAAAAAACACATTTTCACGCGTCTTATTATTGAGTTCCAGCCTGAAAAAAATGCAAGCAAGGCTGATTAGTGGGTATTTAAATATATAAACAGTGGTGAAAAAAGGGATAGCTATTCACTCAGGCCCGGGATCCCCTGAGGCTCATGCATCAATGTCTCTGTGCACAGGAAGATGTAATACTGAGTTAAAATGCACACACAATGTGTAGCATTTGCATACCTGGTTCTACAGTTTATTACTTGATTGATGGAGCCTATAAACTCAATGTAGCACAGTACACTACATGCAATATGGATGAAGAGCAATTTATGAATATCATAAAGGGTGCACTGCATATCCTCATTATTAATCCCCCTTGCCTCACTGCACCAGTGCATTTTGTGTGAGGTTGTCAGGCGACTTGGCAGCGTACCTCTGCAGGTGCGGGTCGTGGTGTTGAGGTAGTACTGATGGGCGCAGCTGTCGTACTGGCATTCTCCGAACAGCAGCACCTTGGCCGGGTCACGGCAGGACGTACAAACCCCGGGCGTCTCGCACGTCAGGCACTGGCTGTCACATGCTGCAGAGAACAGAAAAGGTTGACGGACTAGTGAGGAAAATGTGAAACACCAGCCAACACCATAAACTGCCTGAATGTGGCTGTGTCGGATGCAGGGATTGCCAAAATTCCTCCTAAACACATGCATGTGAGGTTAATAAGTGATTCTAAATTGACCTTGTGTGTCTGTAATAAGGAGGCAGTCTGACCAGGATGTACCCCACCTCTCGCAGCTTAAAGAGGCCCTCACAAAACAAACAGAACTGAAGGAGTACTGAGTAATTAAAACACCAACTAACTGCACTTACTTGTTCATTGAGTCTGGGATCTGTCTGTAAAATGTAAAAATATCGTCTTAGCATTCTTGCGGTGTTGATGGCCTGTTTTCATGACTACCTACATCACTTTCCCACCGGCTTCTCTGCTTCACTCATTACTTTCAGCGTATATTCCACTGACTCACCATTCATTTTCTGACAGACTGTCTTTGTGAACTTTCACTAAACTTTTGTGCCATGAATGGTCCTTTTTGTTTGTGCCTGTTTTCGCCCTCTGCCCACTCTGTCTGGAATTCAATTCAGGCAATTCGTTCAATTTTATCTGCCTGACTTGTAGGTGAACTCGTTTCACGCAAACAACAAGTTGGCTTTTTGGTTTTCTGTACGTGAGTGCTGCATTTCGCTCTGTTTTACGAGTTGTGACAAACTAAAAAGTAGCACTAAGCTAATACCCATCAACTTCCACGTTAAAAAGTTTCCAGCAGAAACACATTTTTACGGGTCTCTGTGGATAGTATCCTTCTTTATAACAACCGTACCAGGATTATTATTTTTAATAACTCATCCAACATTGTTGCTTGTGTTGGAGCTGAAAATCAGTGTGTGGCCCTTGTCTGTAGCCTGTAGGTGTCTGCTAAGCTTCACCTTCACTAACCGGAGTCTCTGAACTAGACTTGTCTGGCTGTGTTTGTGGTTTTGGTGTTTTTTGGGGTATTTTAATTAAATAATCTCACCATTAATATTGCCTGATGTGTCCAAGAAGTTTGTCAATTTGTAATGGTAAGTAAAAGTCTATGATTTAATTAGACACTCATTAGCGGTTATATATGCAGACAGTCTTCTCAGTGCAAACATAGAGTGCAGCTAACAGGAAAGGACCTTAACAAACCAAAATAGTAACATAGCAAAGGCATATTTTTAACATTCACAGTAAGCTTGTTTGCGTGTGTGTGTGTGTGTGTGTGTGTGTGTGTGTGTGTGTGTGTGTTTTCACTAACCCTGGCAGATCCTTTGGCCATTGTTATAGTATCCAAGGGGACATTTGGGGGCACAGAGTCCAGATGGCAAGAGAACGCCGTTGGCAGGGCAGGAAGTACAAGAGAGCGGCCCAGCCCCGCTGCAGGCCTCGCATGATGGATGGCATTCTGGGGAAAAAAACGTCACCTTTTATGGACATGCAGTGACATAGAAATATAACCTAAGTTCCCAAAAAGCTGGCAGACCGTGTTAAATGTAAATAAGAACAGAATGCAATGATTTGAGATTTTACTCGTGGTTTAACATTGAAAACATATCAAATATTTAAAATGAGCCATTTTATTACTTTGTGAAAAATACTGGCCAACTTAGATTTTGATGGCAGGAACATGTTGGGATGCGGGCAACAAAAGGCTGTAAACAGCTCTAAAAACAGGAAGTAGACGTGCTGTTTGTGTTTGTTTGTGTCTATCCCAGCATCACCTCGACATCCTTGACGTTTGTCGATTGTTTCGTTCCAAGTTCGATGGAATTTCTATGCTGCTAATTAAACCCTCCATATCGTTTTAATCCAGCGTGCCTTTATGATTTCTAAACTTCATCTTTTCCTCCGTCTGCCATGCGCCCTCCATACCGCCAACTGCCAGCTTGACAGTCTTTGCTTCTCTGTTCATTCAGCCTCAAGCCTTTATGTTCCAGTCCAACTATCCCCAGACTCTCCATTCACTGTAAAACCCGGCTTAATCTGCCTTCAAATTCCTCTATTTCTACTGAAAAAATAAAATCATTTTTAATAAAATAGAAACTTTTGGCATTTCTCAAACCTGTAAACTTGTAAGAACTTTCAAAAAAGATAATCTGATATGTTGGAGAAGATATCAGAAAGACACTGATCCAAAAGGATGGATTGTGACAATAAACGTAGTCCTTTGTTGTTCTGTGTTTACTTCCTTAAACGTTAAACATGACCCTGTAGTGAGAATAAAGTCATTTTAGTAGTTTTGACTGTTAAAGAATTGCAATACAAGAAAAACTCAGATGGAAAAGGTTTTTTTAAGCTATAAACCCTCTTTGAAGTTCTCAAAAACAGATGGACACAACACTGAATCATCGGTTTCTTGACGACAAAAGGCGGCACAGTGGTTCAGCTGTTAGCTAGTTCAAATCTGAGGACGGCCCGGTGCTGTGTTTTGTTTTGAAGTGTGCATGTTCTCTCCAGGTACTCCCTCAGTCCAACAACATCAATGTGATGTCCTTATCTGTCTCTATGTGTTAGCCCAGCTCCCCCAGTAACTCTGAACTGAGTAAGCGGCTGAGAGAATGGAAGGACGGAAAAAGTCTTTTCCAACCCAAACCGTTGAGTTAAAGAATATTTACTTATCTAATAAGTGTATCGCGTTATTATCAAGGATACAGTCACTCAGAGTCATCTGCTCCTCATCCTTAGATACTGCACAGCCAGCACCACACACTGCTCATCTAAGCACACTAACCACGGCATAAAAATATGAATCTGATGTAAAAATTCATCATCTGGCCTGAATCAGCACCAGGATAGAGGCAGATGTGCAAACATGTAGCTAATAAAATGTACCCATCCACCCACCTACCTGTTGTGTAGCACATGTTTGACCTGAGAGGTTTGTTCTGTGTCCACGGGAGCTATTTTTCCCCTCTATCTTGTGCTTTCTTCATATAGCTGTTGTAGTCACTGTGTGTGCATGAATGTGTTTGTATGCTATTGCCTGCAGCTAAGCTAAATGAGACTCCTGAGGTTTTACTCTTAAAGCCAGAGGCTTCCTGTTCACGCTCTGCATTTAGACCCGTGCGCAGATTCGCAGCAGATCAGAGTGGAGGCTGTTACAGCTGCTCAGCGGCTGAACCACAGGATGAGGAGGAGGACGAGGAGGAGGAGCAGGAGGACGATAATAATAATGACCAGGTATGATGAGGATAAGGATAATGGAGACAATGCGGAGGATGGCTTTGAAGAGGATGAGGGGATAATTAGAAATTCTTTTCTAGAGCAATTGTTTGTTTAAACATTTACTTTAAGTGTTTCTCCTGCTTGTTGTTTTCAGGTCAGCAGAGGGTGGAGAAACAAGCCCTCCCAGGTCAAGGAGGAGGAGGTTTGATTGATGAATAAAACACAAAAGCTTTGATTAGATTTCCCTACATTAAAGAAAGCTACTGCTTGACCTCTGACCTTCTTGTACAAAGGCAGAGAAGTAAAAAGTCCTTACTGGTGCAGGCTCCATGCCAGCCATAATGACCCAGAGGACAGTGAGAGACACAGTGATCGCCCAGCAGCCACGTTCTTGGCGCTTTGCACCACAGACAGATGCTGCCAACGCCCGTCTGGAGGTCTGCTGTGCAGCGCTGGCAGTCCGAGCTGCACTCTGTGGAGATAACAGAGAGAATGATTTGTATTTTTACATCTTCACAATGTAAACAGAAATGTACGCCATTATCAGCCACTCGTCAACGCCATGCTAAAACGTCTTTTCTTAAATCAAACGAGCTGATGTGCATCTGAAGCAAAGCAGGCGCCTCGCTGGTTTTTGTTTAAACGAAAAGCAAAAATAATCCAATCAGTTACAACTCGCTGTTTCTGACTACAAACGGCTCACGAGCTCCAGTTTCTCTCCCTCTGTTCCCTTTGTCCCCTGGTTACTTATTCAGGCTTTTTTTCATTTCTCTAGTTTGTTGAGTTGATTAATTTATATCCATGTTTAAAAGTAGTAAAATTCCTGCATGGCTAAAACAATAAAATCGCAATTAAAACATAAAAAACAAGGAAAATATAAACAAATGATTTTTTTTTTAATCCAAAGAATAAAAATTGGTTTTCAAACAGGATTTTAAAATGTCTGTTGTTAGGCAGCAGTCCGCTCCACTTACTATCAGTGGTTACTTAAAAAAATCAGATCTTTCTTTTGATGAAAACTTCAGGAGCATCTCCACAGTGATGACCTCAGTGATGTAGTTAAATATATGTTAAATTATGAGGACTTCCCATAATGCACTGCTCGTGTCGTCAGCGTTTATCTTCTCGCTCCTGTAGCTTGTGTTTTGCCCTGTCCGACATGGTTTTTATCTGACAGAACAAAGTTTGCTGAAGCGCCTGATTAACTGAGGGTTTAAAGTTCTCTGCAGAAATGTTTCTACTCTGGTGACTTTTCACATAGATGTTCTATGCCACTGCATGTATATGTTCTTTTTCATGAGCAGTTATCTTTGTCTGACATATTTGATCATAAAACACAAAAATAGGCTGTAACAAAGCAACGGACAGACAATACAGCTGCATCTCGATGTCTCTCCTCGTGTTCTCCTCGCCTCTCCCTCTCACACATCTTATGGAATAAACTAAGACAAATAGAAAAAGGAAAAGTAGGCAGTACAAGTCTGTAGGACTAGACGTGGCATCTATCCCAGTGTTTCATCCAGACCTCGATGATCTTCAGCTGCTTTATTCCAATTTCTATGTAACTCCCACCTCTACTGCTGCTAATTAAGCTCCCCGTGTCAAAAGTTTTAATCCAACGTGCCTTTATGATTTCTAAACTTCATCTTTTCCGCTGTCTGTCTGCCCGATCTCCGTCTGCCATGCACCGTCCAAACCTCCAACTGCCAGCTCGACAGTCTTTGCTTTTCAGTTCATTCAGACTCAAGCCTTTATGTTCCAGTCCAGCTATCCCCACACTCCCCATTCACTGCAAAACTCTGTTTAATCAGCCTTCAGTTCCTCTATTTCTACTGAAAAAATAAAATCATTTTTAATAGAATAAGATGTGATAAGCTGGGTAAAGAGAAAGAGCCAGGGAGCTTATGCATTCACATTTAAGTTCTCCATTTACTTTGAAAACTTTTGGCTTTCTTTTTAGACTTTCTCAAACCTGCAAACTTTTAAGGGCTTTTAAATCCATTTAAAAGAAAATCTGATATAATGGAGATTCAAAAGGGTGGATTATGACAATGGGCCCCATTCAAAGCAGTCCCGTGTTATTCTGCGTTTACTTCCTCACACGATGGCAGCAGGTAGCGGCAAAGGAGGAAATTAACAGCAGAGGTATTTATTGCTGCTTCACCAACAGCTTGATTTGTATATTTAGTTTCTGACTTAACCACAAACTGTGGTCAAAGCGAGTTGACTGAAAAGAGTTCCTCTCAGCTTGTTTACGTCCTTTCTTGCAGTAAGCGGTCAGAGACATTACCCAAGAAGCTGGAAAGACCTTCACTTAGTATAATAAAAGCTTACTTGTGGTAAGATGTATATTAAGATGAGGAAAAAGGAGAAACTACTGTTTGCAGCCTAATGACTCCCACTTTGATCCAAAATAATACAGATGGTAACTCAGATGCTTCTTGCTTCAGAGCAACAGTAATCGATGCAGCATTACGGTGCCCGAGCATGTGGCAACAATACGTTTTGATAGCTCGAGCGCTTGTAAAACCACACAGTTTGTATTTTTTTAGACAACTGCTGGTGTTTGGTGGAGAACACTTACTAAATATCAGCTCACGGCAAACAAAAGTACAATAGAGTTTGTTGCTAACATGCAAAAATTAAGCAGAAATAAGTAGGAAGGATTTTAAAAGCAAAGCATTTCTGACTAAAGATATAAAAGGAGAGTAAATATGATTCCTTTATTGTTTTCCACACCTTTAAACTCCAAAACTGTGATCTCGTAAGATAAATGCCAGTGATAGGTGAAAAGAAGCTGCCCACACCCCCACCCACAGACCCGTATATACCCTCAGAACTAAGTGCAGCAGGGTCTCCCAAAAGGCGCCAAGATTAACAGAACAATGAGCATCTGGTGGTGTTTTATCTGATGGTATCTGGGTTGTGTCTGGCTGACACAGTGGTGGGTACCTTAAAGTTATTTGTCTGTGATGAGATAACGATGTATAGTGGAAACAATGAGGCAGAGTGGGGAGTTATGTGATGGTGAGGACAGCAGTAA